AACCGCGTCAAATAAGATTGCAATAATGTACAACACTGATTTCTTTCTTGTTGCCAAGTTGTCTTATTGGATCAGTGAGTAGTGTTCATGGTTCAGCTACATGAGCTGTTTATACTTGAGAAAAGGCTAAAAACATGATCAGTCAGTGTTTAACAAGATTCACTGACAATAGAAAGAATATAAATAATAAAATGTTGCTGGCGACTGGAAACCATATGTATTTGATATTTTTAGATTAATGATTAAATGTTTCAATTTGGGTTGCGAACTCTTATTCCTTAAGCTAAATGTTGTTGTGTAACCTGTGTAGGAATGCGTCCGCTGCATTACGCAGCCTGGCAAGGAAAAGCTGATTCTGTCCTGGTGCTGCTTCGCTCTGGAGCCTCAGTTAACGGGGTTTCCCTTGACGGACACATCCCTCTGCACTTGGCAGCCCAGTATGGACACTATGAAGTGGTGAGTACATCAGTATATCAGTGATTGGTGAATTCTGATTAATAAATGACACCGTGGTAAAAAAGATTTTAAGATTACTCTCACTTTATGGTCAAATGTGGAAATGTGTTTGGCTGCTCTGCCAGACTGAGAAATGTCCGGCCACTTGTGATTTATGCCTACCAAGTGATTTCCTACCATCGAGAAAATAAAAGACCCTACAGCTCAGTTAGAGGTTTTAGTGGATCAAATGCTGATAATAAAAAGAGTCATTTCGAGGGGTTGGTGATGCTCTGAAAGATTTAGTTATTAATTTAGAGCTGCTGCTTTTCCAATGATTCTCCACTGGAAAAATGCTTTTTAGGTCAGTGTGCGTCACATGATGAATGTGGAAGTTGTAGTAACATGGTTTGGTCACTACGCCAGGGTTGCCTCCCACAGTTCTGTCATTAACATATGCAGCATTTCTCCTCACAATCTGTAAACGTTACCATGTTTGTCCCACCTTTTTGTCACCTTTGTACTTCTCATTCATAAAATGTGTTTGTTTGATTGTTTGTTTCAGTCTGAGATGTTGCTGCAGCATCAGTCCAACACATGTCTGATCAACAAGGCCAAGAAGACCCCTCTGGACCTAGCCTGTGAGTTTGGAAGAGTCAAGGTGAGCATGTAGTTTTTTTTGTCTGTATGTGACATATATTGCTTCTCTTATGGGGACAGTCACTCTTACCTTCCTTCTGGGGACAAAAAAAACAGGTCCCCACAATGTAAATCAGTACATTCTGGCATTCAGGGGTGCTTTAAGTTTGGGGTTCAAACTAGGGTTAGTGTTGAAGTTGGGGGAAATCTCCAGGGGATTTTTTTGTAAGACAGTGCGATGCCCTGCTAAGTGATAGAAAACTGTCTGAGAGTGTGACACTGCATTCGTGTGTGACCAGGGCAACACAGTCACAGCTGAACAAACGCAAACACACACAGGTTTGATTGTGTTGCCACGGTTTCATTTTCATCTGTCAGCAAGCATCATTGTGAACTTTGTATTGTCTTACTCTGTTTGCCTGTGCATCGTTTCCCCTCTCTCTCTATTCTGTTTTCATCCGTGTAAATCTGAAATGTTTTTTTTTTTGCCTACAAAAACCGTTCACCCTGTCAGCCACAGATTTTTCTTCTTCTCTTGCTAATACTTTAACTCAGCCTGACACACACATGCACAGCAGGCCTGTAGAAAAACTGGGTTTGTTGTTCAGTCTTTGGATTTTGGTGGAGCTGACTGCATGTCTGTTGTCTTGTACTTATAAATAGTTGTGTGCACATCCGCAAAACCTCAATTGGATAGGTGCTGAAAACAAAACAACCTTGTGATGTTTTGACCAGCTATAGATCTTAGTCAGGCAAAAAGGTTGTTTGTCAAAGCAGTGGCTCAGTCGTCTTTGTTTTGTGAGTTTGCTGAATGAGACTTTAAAGTGAACTCTGATCCCCTCACAGCTGGTTCAAACCAGGATATCTTTAGAGTGTGTGCATGTGTGTCTGTGTGGTTGTATGACTGTACGTTGTGAGGACTGGTTGGTGTTTTATACCATGGGAGTGAGGACACTTTGGCCAGTGTTCACCTTCTCACATGCCTTCAGAGGGCTGCTTGAGGGTTAAGACTTGGTTTTAGGGTTTGGGTCAGACTTAAGGTTAGGGGCTGGGGAATGCATTATGTCACTGAGTATCCTGACAGAGATAGCTGTACAAATGTGTGTGTATGTGTGTGTGTGTGTACTAAAGCCTCAGCTGCTACTCAGTGATATCAGGGTGTGTTGATGGCAGCTGCTGTGTTTCCATTCAGCTCGCTCAATCCCACCTCCTCCTGTTTCTAAGGAGAGCAGCAGGCTTTATTTATCTTCATATAGTTACTGTCAGCTCTTATTATAAATATTGTAAATATTCTAATGCAGTGGCTACCGTACTTTTGCCTAGAGCTGCAACTGACATGTTTTCACTATCATCTGATCTTGACAGTTCTTTTTGTTTTATTACTTTGTCAGCAGCTACTTTGATTATCTGTCAAATGAAAACTATACTTCTGTCATGTGTGAGCCTTAAAAAATGCAAAATAAGGGAATTTCAATTGGCAATTTCCTTTTTTCCAGCTTTTCTTTCTAGATACTTGCGCCATAAAAATATACTGCATTTATTTGACCAGGTAATTAGGTGACCAGGTATTATTGACCCTCCATCAACAGTCAAACATCTCTTTATATCTAAAGCTGATTGATGACCACACATATCTGTGAAGATATTGTCCACCCACACGTGTGATAGTTCTGTTCTTAAACCCGCTAAAACCTTCTTCACTGCCTGAGACAATAAAACCCGAAATCACAAAACAAAGCAGAAATTTGTTTTTCTCACATAATTTTTATCCCTAAGGTGAACATCCAGCTGTGACTCACTGTTCCTGCTGCCAAACATCTGGATTTGTACATGGTGTCTTTGGTCACAGATGTATTACCTCATCCTCACCTGCAGGATCTGTGATGCTGTGTGTGTGCTTTTCACATTCATGTCTGATTCTGTCAGTAACTGGAGCTTTGTCCCGTCGTTGTCTTCTTTATGTCCTCTCTGACTCCTCCACCTCAGGTGGCACAACTGTTGCTGAGCAGTAACATGGTCGGGTCGTTGCTGGAAGGAGAAAGGAAGGAGCCAACAGATGCGGCCTTCACCACCCCGCTGCACCTCGCCGCCCGCAACGGGCATAAAGATATCATATGGTGAGACTGGTTGTTTTGTCTCTGGACAACCTGCGCAATCAAAAATCGCAGCACTGTTTGGAAACACTCGATCTTGGGTAGATTTCTTCTGCTCCAGCGTTCCTTTACATGTCACGTACATTGATGGTGAACATTTTCTGACTGACATTCAGGACATCCATTCACAGTTTCAGATGTTTAGCAAATCTTTGCTCAGTACTCTGGTCTAACTATCCTGCTGGCTCCATGTTTGTTCTCATCAGCCTCTCATGTTCAGTGTGTGAACAGTCTCAAACCTCTAATTGGTGATGTGAGCTGGCAGAAAGACAAGCGGTGGCATGCACAAAGCTGCCAGTAGTAAGATTAACAGAAAATCAGTCACAGCTTTTAATGTTTAATATATTATATATACTATATTTTATACCTCAGCTTTAGTTTTAGTTGTCGCTAATCAGCGAGTGTGGTTGTTATATTTCTGTCAGTTTATTGGACTGAGAGTCTGTGTGTGCTGGCTGTCCTCGCATAACGAACACAATAAGCAAAACTATTCATAACACACCCACATAAGGATCGTTACACCCAGCCTGGCAGTGTGTACCGGCAACAGGAGAACACACTGCTGTGTCACTGCTGTGACGCAACAGTCGACGCCTGAATTCCTTTGTTTATTGTTAATGTTATAAAAACGGCATAGGCAGAACCAAGGCGGTGGCACAGGCCACCCCAGAATGTGATTGGCCACCCCTGGTGCCACCCCTGCCAGAGTCAAAATGTGATGCTTGTCAGAATTAATGAATGAAAAAAAGGAAAAACAATGACAAATTGTTGTCTTAAACACATCTAATATTGTTTCTGGCTTTTTTTATAATTGATATTGGTCAAATTTGTTTTTGTCCTGATTTGGATGTTTATCCATATTCATATTGCCAGTCAGGTTTTCAAGTTAAGGTGGTCACTAATTGGTTCAGTGTAACAGGCCCTAATTAAACATTTAGCTTAGCTTTGACTTCTTTTGCAGAAATATAAACTGACTGGGTGATCAAGGAGTCAGTTAATACAGATCAAACCATGTTTAATATTTCACCCAGTTTACATTTTGTGACGGCGGTGAGTTGGCCGGAGCTGAAGTCTCTTGTTGCAAACATGAAATATCTTTTTAAAGAGATTTGTCTGTTTTCCTTGTTTTCAGACATTTGACAGGGTTGTGCCTGGTCTCAGAAGTGATTTGATGGTGAGGGTGAGTTTTTGCCTGAGAGGCTGTGTAGATGCTGAAGGCAGAGGGCCGGGCCCCTGTGGTTTGTGGTTTTTAACCACTGAACCGGCATGTTCGCATGGGGATGTGGAAGCACGAACTCTGGAGCTGTTTGTGCGTGTGTTGTTTGTTTTCTGCGAAGTTGTGTCTTCTTCATGCCTCACATTCATTCCCGGCAGAG